CTCCCATATACCACTCTGTAACCATAAGCTTGTTTTCTACATCTGAGGTCTATTTCCATTTCATAGATAAGTTCATTTGTAGCCTTTTTTCAGATTCCACATATAAGCAATATCATATATTTGTCTTTCTCTGTCTGACTTATTTCACTCAGTATGACAATCTCTAGTTCCATCCATGTTGTTACAAATGACATTATTTTGTTCTTTTTTATGGCTGAATAATATTCCATTTGTNACTGAAGAACATTCCATCAGCACTCCCTACCTTTAGCTTGATGATGAAAAGGAAGGGCTGAAGGAAAATAAACTATACTTCCATTTCCTTTTTTTGCAGTGCATGTGGTTGGCTAATGTCAGAAACTAACAAAATAAGAAAGGTTTCCATGGTTGTTCATGTTTCATTGAGTGCAAAGACTCATTCTTTTCGAGTGCAATGTCATTATTTTGACATTCAAAGCAAATTCTAATTCAGATAAGAAGTGTGACTGCTAAGGGTTGTCAATACCCTGCTTACTCAAACAGAGAGGTAACATGCTTGGCATCACTATGAGTCCCTGGGGACACTGATGTCCTGTGGGATTGGGAAGGGAAATGGCAGACACACAGACCATGCAGATTTCCTTTTGTCCAAAGCACACTCCATTGGCCCATCAGGCTTCACTGACAAAACACAAGTTCAGAGATCATTTTCTCCATGAAATTTGCCTCTTTATTGACTTTTGATCACTAAGCAAGTAGGTCACACTTTCAGTCACAAAACTCTAATCAAAATCAGAAAGGAGGATACAAAAGAATTGAGAAACACTTACTTAAGCCAACTTTTTAAGCTGTTGGTGTTGCTGTTTAGTCACTATGTCATGTCTGATTATTGGATACCCCATGGACTGAAACATGCCAGGCTCCTCTGCCCTTCACTGTCTCTCAGAGTTTGCTCAAATTCATGTCCATTGAGTTGGTAATGTTATCTAACCAGCTCATCCTCTGTCACTCCCTTCTCCTTTTGCCTTTAATCATTCTCAGCATCAGGATCTTTCCCATTGAGTTGGCTCTTTGAATCAGGTGGCCAAATATTGAAGCTTCAACTTCAGCATCAGTCCCTCAAATGATTGTTCAGGGTTGATTTCTTTTAGGATTGACTGGTTTGATCTCCTTGTTGTCCAAGAGACTCTCAAGAGTCTTCTCCAGTACCACAGTTTGAAAGCATCAATTCTTTGCTGCTCAGCCTTCTTTATGTTCCAACTCTCACATCCATACATGACTACTGGAAAAAACATAGCTTTGACTATGCAGACCTTTGTTGGCAAAGTGATGTCTCTGCTTTTTACCTTATTGCTAGTGTAAATAATACTACAGTGAACCTTTTTTCACAAAATCATATTTATAATTCAAATGATCCCTTTAGGACTGGTTTCCAAAAGTGTATTACAGATTAAGAATCTTTTTTAAGGTTCTTGATAAGTACTGCCAAATTATTTTCCAGAAAGGTTGAATCTATATTTACACTCAAATTTAGCTTACAAAACACTCACTAGTATTATTATAAAGGTCTTAGTAGGGAAATAATGGGCATATAATAAATAATCCAATACTCAGATTATGCTTGCTAGAATTTAATAAACATGCACTTTTAAAATAGGTTTTGTTAAAATTATATGACTTAATTGTATAAGTTTTTATAAACTAGTGAGACTACATGTTCTACTATATTTGATGAAGATTATTCTAACTTCAATTCTTGAGTCTCTCAACTTATTTGAGTATTGCACATATAGATACAATGTAGATCTATTTTATTTCATCCCTGTTGAATGATATCTATAAGGACTTGGGTAGACTGGGCCACTCCGTTCCAAGGAATCATGACCTACTTATGTTCAGTTGTCAACTCCCACATGTAGATTGATTTTAATCTATTGAAATAGAAACTACCTGGGAAACTGAGACAAAAAATTAAAAAATATCTCACTTTCTGGAGCTGAGAAATCATTTTAGAAAGATATTATGGTGGTATATAACAATGGAAGTTTTCAGAAACTGATTCATTTCATGACCTACCTATCAGGTTGAGTGAATGGGTGCTGAACTATCACTTGTTAAGGTAAATTGAGATTTGAATAAATGATCATTAGAGTAACTCTATAATCAGTAGGATGCAATAAGCATTAGAGTAACCATATAATCAACAGGATGCAATAATCAACAGGAAGCTCCTCTGTGGACAGAGGAGCCTGGGGGGCTAGAGTTCATGGAATCACAAGAGTTGGACACAACTTAGCAACTACATGGCCAACCACCATTAGTTAGTTTGCAGAATGAAAGTAATTATGATAGTTTTCTGAGTCAACAAAGAGAAACTCCATAAAGTTACCCAACAGCCTTTTTTTTACTTGTCATCCTCATCCCCTTAGAATTCTGAGGATTCACACAACAGGAATGCATCTGGATTCTGCTCTAGCATTTCTCTTTAAATCAGAAACACCTCTCAAGTATTGATACAACCAACTCAGTCCAAATAAAAGACTGAAAAAAGAAATGTTATTTGATACTCAACAGTTATAAAGGTTCCAAATGCAAAATCATTTGAAAAAGTCAACGGCCAAAAAGTTTCCCAGTGTCACCATCATATCTCTTATTTTCATAGTCCATTTACTGGTCTCACCATATGTTCCATTTTCACATTTTCTGATGATATTTGCTCCTGGGAGACAGAAGGGAAAGAGAAAGTCAATGCATATATTTGCTCAATGGGTTATAACATTCCCATCTTACAAATTACTGCCTATCAACATTACCTTGTATGTTGATTATAAATTTTGATTTATTACTTTATAAATTACATTTCATCTAAATTGGCAGATAACATGAAGTTAACAATACATTTCCTTAGTTTAGATATTATTCTGAGGCTTCCCAGGTGGCTCAGTGGTAAAGAATCTGCCTGCCAATGCATAAGACACAAAAGACGCAGGTTACATCCCTGGGTCGGGAAGATCCCCTGGGGTAGGAATGAGAACCCACTCTAGTATTCTTGCCTACAAAATCCCATGGACAGAGGAGCCTGTAGTCCATGGGGTCAAAAAGAGTTGGTCACAACTGAGCATGCAGAGTTTGAAGGGGTATTTATCTTACCAGTTTAAGCCTGTGGTTTGTGAGTCTGAATACATTTTATTCACACAAAACTTGAGCATATTATGAGAAAATAGTCAGCATGTGAATCATCTCCTTCCTGACCTCCATCTAGAGTGTTACTGATTTCTAGGGCAGCCTGGGCTGTGAAGCAGTTACTCGGTTTGTCAAAGGAGGCATTAGGATTCAGTATTGTATACTTAATTATCTCCTTTATTGAAGCAAACTCCTTCCCAGGAGGTATGATAGGGTGTATTTGCCCCCAAATGTAGCCACTAGAATGTCAGGTTGGCTCAGCTTGATTTGTGAGCATTCTCTTCTTTATTTAAATGAATTATACTCTCTGAAGTTTTGACTTTAGAAGTCACTTCTTAGTATGTTAAGTTTTGGTAGGAACTCAACCAATAATATCTAATCTGATGACTAGTCATCTTTCAAAGCAGTAAATTTAGTACAAGCAGTTACAACCGTGCCATTATTTAGTTTTAATATAAGTGGAATGCACAATAACAAACTATTATGATTATTACAAAACCTTGGAAACTCTCTGAGCAGCTTATTTGCTTGTTTGTACATTTATTTCCAGTTGTTATCTTTTGACTTTATTCTCAGCAACTGGGAAATTAAGTCCACTTTGTTAGGAAAGGTGGGTAGCAAAATTGGGGCTGCAGATCCAGGGCTGAACTCAAACAGTCCTGTCTAAAGAATGTATTAATAATAGCAAGAAAAAAAGAGTATGTTGGGGGTGGGTCTGAAAGAGTGTTAGTTATACCTCTGCTGCTGACCAGCTGTGTGACTTTATACAAATTATTTTTTCTATCTGGGCCTACAGTTTTAGAAAAAAGGGACTAAATTCATGTCCCCAAAATTCACACTACTGTAACATTTTGATATTCGACAATGTGGTTCTTAACTACAGTATCCTAACCACAATTTCCCCAAATCTTTACTTCTGTGTAGTCCCTTTAGGTAACAACACAGTATTCTCAAATCATTACCTTCTTACTAACACTGTATCTAAAATTCTAAAATAATTGTTCTGGGAAAGTTCTAAATGAAAAGGACCAGTTTTAGCTCCATTGGGGAAATTTGCCCCAAAGGTATCAGAGGTTTCTCTAGTTAATCTCCAGCTACCTGAAAACATTTCTCCAGTTAATCTCCAGCTACCTGAAAACATTTCTAGGATCTTTTAAAACCTCGCTTAAAAACACACACACACACACACACACACACACACAAAAACCAAAACTACAAATCCCATGAGTCAAAGACGGATTAGAAACGGACGCCTCCCCTCCAAACCTTTCCCGGTTCCCTAGAATGTAGTCTGCTAAAACTCAGGTTGAGGCATCCTGAAATATGCCTGAGAGAAACGCCTGCTGTTTCATCCCGGTTTTTAATCTGTGCTCTAGCTTGGCTCCTTTAAATCGGTGCTGAGAATGAGGAAGGAAAAGGAGCTACGCAGGGCGGGATGGGCGCGGGTGTGAGCATCACCTGTTCTGGAAGGGGCATGCGCACTGTGAGGGCGCGGACGAGGGGGCGGGGCGCGGTGGGAGGGGCCGACGGCGCCTGGCTGGCACCACTCAGATCTGCTTCTACCCGGCTTGGGGCGCTGAGGCGGCGTCGGGAGTTGCCTTCTGCAAAGGTTGCCTGGCGTTGTCCAACATGGAGGAGGCACTGGCCTCGGGCATCACCTGCAAGAGGGACTAATCTCCACCTGGCGTTCAGGGCAGCGGTGCCGGAGTTCCCGAGCCCAGGGACTCCGCCTGCACGCCCTGAGCCAGACGCTGCTCTGGTTGCTCCTCCGGCGGCGGGTTTCCCGGCAGGGACGCAGCGCAAGGAGGGAGCGCGGCGGCTCCGGGTTTCCTTAAGCCATGGGCAACGAGGCGAGCTTGGAAGGGGAAGGGCTCCCCGAAGGGCTGGCGGCGGCGGCGGCGGCAGCAGCCGGAGGAGGGGCTGGCGGGGCGGGGAGCCCCTTGCACACCGTGATCCCGGCCGGCATGGAAGCGGATCTGAGCCAACTGAGCGAAGAGGAGAGGAGACAGATCGCTGCTGTCATGTCAAGGGCGCAGGGGCTGCCCAAAGGAAGCGTTACCCCGGCCGCTGCGGAGCCGCCTTCCATGCACAGGCACGCACAGCATGATGTATATGTTCGGGCATATATGTACAGCTTCTCGTGCACATATGTGCCAGCCCATATGTGCCATCACGGCAGTACATATATGTCGCTTCCGTTCATTTTATTCTTCCTAATGGGGTGGCTGTAAAGAGAACGTAAGCCTTCTGTTGGGTAGAATAAAAATGTTGCATTACAGAGTTTCTAGTGGGATAGTCAAGGGTTGCATTCTTGGAACTGTGATTTTAGGTTGTGATTTCTGGCCTTTTGGAACCTTTTCCCTCTAGGGTGGCGTGGAGAGACGCCCTCCAGTGTTTTACTAATCTGGAAGTCTTCCATTAATACAGAACGGACGTGTTAGGAAATGGATAGAGCTGGGTGTTTACCTGTCTCTGTTTAAACCTCCTCAGTCATTTTGGGGTCTTTTTCTCTTTGAATAATATTTAAATATCATTTTTGTAGTAATACCTTTAATTCCCTTAGAGGTGATTTGTCTTTCCTTCACACCCCACCCCCAGAGGAGAAGAGGAGCTGTTTAGGTAGAAGGCAGAGAATGAATACACCTTTTATATTCAGTGAGGAACCCTAAATTATGTTGTGGCGTTAAACAGATGATTTGGTCACAACAGTGCAGGTGCTGTACATGTATTTATGAATTGGCATATGCTATTTTCTAAACCACTGCTATTTTATGTGGAAAAGGATATTACAGTTTATAGGAGAATGTGTGAATTTGTGTTATCTTAAAATTAGTTTCCAGTACGTACTTTTAAACACAGAGCAAATAACATCTTGCATAGGAAATTAAGAGCTGATTTGTAATATTAATGTATGCATTTCCCCCACTAGCTCTCTATTTTCCTACATCCCAATAAACTGGTTGTTTTCTAATTAGAGTACTTAGAGGGTATAATCATTGTGCCTGCCCTGCCTTTATTCTGTAAACAAACCCTTTAACTTCACACCCTTCCCTACAGAACAGTTCTCTGACCGTGGTCCTGAAACCACTCCGGCTTTATGGTAACCTAACAATTTTCACTAAAGATACTGGAAATATAAAAAATCTTGATGTAGGTGTAGGCTCTTATCCTCTACTTCATAAAATAAATGCACTTTAACTTAGGAGCTATAAGTATATACATATAATTTTGTCAAGTAACTATATTTAATTTAGGATAACTGTCAAAGGTTTTATGGATGATAATATTTTTCACATAAAATCTTAAATGCATAAATTATATCAGGCAAAAACTCTATTTTCCTGAAGGGAAACCCAATACTACTGGTAAAAACTGGCTTTTTCTTATTGAATATGTTTTTCTGTGTTTTTTAAATTAGTGATATAGTGGGCTATTCCTTTGGCATAAAGTCTTTCTTATACGTTCCCTTAAGAATACAGTTTATGATATGTACTGTTTTTCTCTACTAATTAAAACTTGACTTAGAAAAAAGTTTGAATGTTCATATAGTAGATTTTTTTTAGGAGAATAATGAGGTGCAGTACTTTTATTAACCTTTTAAAAAATGTATGCCAGCTCTGCTTCAATTTTTTCCTAAGAGCCACAAGCAACAGGTTTAGCATGCTGGTTACAGATACCAGGGAAAGTGAGAACTTTGATTTCTAAATTCCTTACTTCTATTTAGAGGGTGGCTAAAAAATAATATTTCAGCCTATGAAAGTATAGTGTTTTATGTATTATTTGTATCAGGTAGCATAATTTTAAAGCTCTCTACTGATAGTTTTGTTATCATAGAATTCTTAGCAATTGATTTCTGTAGACTAAACAGTTAATGACAAAAGCTTCATTCAAATATATAAACAATATGTGCATGATTTTGGCAAACTGTCTACATTTTACTGAAAGATTTCTATAAAAATATATAATTTTGGAAAGTTATTATTCCCATATGTGACTACCAAATAAATACTTGGCTTATGATTTCGATTTTTAGAAACATATTAATTCAAGTATATATAAGAAATTGTATCCAAATCATTTCACATTTTAGGTTACATGATTTGAATTAGACATGGTGGATTTTTACCTTTTTTTTTTTTTTTAAGAAATAAAGATTGACAGCCCAAAGACCTTCTCTTGTTATTTTTAACTGACTCATAGCAAATTATATATGCTTCTCAGTCATATATGCCTAAGTTTCCTTGCCTCTAAATAAGATGATAATACTTATCTATCTTGTAGAGCCATTGTAAGGGTCAGTTAAAAATTGACAGGACCATTTCTGCTTGGATTTTAATTTGAAGTAACCCTATACATATAAAAAGTAGTAATATTGCTATCAGCAGTGAAAGGCACTGGCAGTGATGGCTGCAGACAAGTTGTTGGTTAAATTATTCATTGTTATGAGTTATTTTGAAATATCTATAATATATCTATATTCTTTTACATACAGAGAAGTCAGTGCAGCGTGCTGGAAATCCTGTCCCCCATCCTAACCACTGGGACTTAGGACTCCAGATTTCTGTAACTAACTAGTTTTATAACCTTGAATTAATATCTTTGCCTCTTAAATCTGACTATTCTCTATCATGTAAAAATGAATAGAGATTCCTAAAGTAGCTTATATTTATATTATTATAAAATTTTATGACTCAACACTATTAAGTGTCATTGCTTTTTGTGTTACATTTCAACATCTTTTAGTATTTCAACTGCTTTTATAGTCTGACTCTTGAATGCATTTTTTTCTTATTTGTAGCTGAAACTTTTTTCTGTTAATATGTGAAAGAAAAATTCTAATATGAGGATGGCAATAGTAAAATGAAAAAGAGAGGTTGTATAAAACTTGAAAAGTTAAAAGCTAGAAGTTAGAGCTTACAAATGAAATAGTCCTGGATTTTTTAATTCATTGTTGATCCAGGGAAATGCAATTTTATTACTTCTTCTACTCATTCTATTTATACCTACAGATGTGTCACATAGACAAACTTTCCTGAAAAATACTTCCAATTAGTAGAACAGTGACAATTCTGACTGAATTGATTATTTTCCTTAGCATTCCTTGAGCCTCCCCTATTGGGTAGACACCTCCACAACTGTTTGTCTTCATGGAGCAGCAAACTAAAATGAAAATGGAATGTTTCCATTTTTATTTCAGAAGACCAGTAGAAAAATTTAAAGTGAAAAGGATTCAAGAAACAGTAATCAACAGGGAAACAAAAACCTGATATGTTCATTCATTTGTTCTTTCACTGTTATTCATTCATTGATTCATCAAACATTAATACTCATTGACTAGTTATGAGCTTTGGTTCTAGCGATGCAAAGATGAGTAAAACACTTTCTCTCCCTTGGAGCTCATGATCTAGTACACAAGAAACAGATTGCATTTTAATCATTCTTGTTTTTATTTTATTTTATTTTATTCTTGTTTTTAACATGACTATTATACCCAACAAAAATTCATCAAAAGACCATAGTTAGCTAAGACATCTTTTTTTTTTTGCTCAGTATTAAGCCTATATCTTCTCTTAATTATTATCTGTTTCTCACTTTCAGACATCCATGTTTTATATTTATTTATATTATTATAGCAACTAAAACTAAATTTAGTTTGTCTACCTGTATAGATATCCTCTTACAGGGGGCTTCTATAACATAATACAACTTAATATTTATAGGACACACATGCAGTTATAATTTCTAATGCAGGCAGCTTGCTTTAACTTTTGGTGTTTATTGTTATCACAGATATTTGGTACTCAACAACATTTATATTTTGTTTTGTATAAATCAACTAAGTGAAGAAATATCACAGAAACAATGATTATGCTTAATAGTATTTTCAGGGCTTCCCTCATGGCTCAGATTGTAGTGTCTGCCTACAATGCGGGAGACCTGCATTCGAACCCTTGGTTGGGAAGATCCCCTGGAGTAGGAAATGGCAACCCACTCTGCATAGTATTGTTAAGAATAGATTTTTAAGTACTCTGTTTAACTATGGATTTCTTCAATAAAAAGCCTAAATAATTCTTTATAGGATAATCTCTTAAGTTTGTGCCCTACAAGGGAGTGATAAACTTTATTAATTGAATAAGTCACTTTTCTAGAATAATGTGAAAGTATAAACTGTGGAACTTTTAAAATATAATCTATTTTGGATTGTTTACCATGGCTCTTCAGCCAAACCCACTCCACTGTTCTTGCCTGGAGAATCCCATGGACAGAGGAACCTGGCAGGCTACGGTCCATGGGGTCACAAGGAGTTGGACACAACTGAGAAGTTAGCACTCTGCCTTCATATGGAATGGAGCAAATGGATAATTTTAGTTCCTTTTTTAAGTACAGGCTTCAGAGACAAGTTTTTATAACTTTTTTCCCTGGAGGAAATTTCCAGAACTGAGAGTTCTGTTTATTAATCTTTTATTAGAAAATAACTTTGTGGCATACATTGCCATTTATAGTTTATTTTCTTCTGACTCGTTGCTATCTAGAAGTAATATGTCTGTGTTGCTTCCTACTGTGCCTTGCATTTTTGTTTTTGAACAGAGAAATTTTTATTACAGGGTCATGCAAAGAGATGGGTGGCTCATGCCTTAAGGACCCCAAAGTTACTAAAAGCTTTCTACAAAGCCCTTTTATAAGAAAGGTAGGGAAGGACATGGTTAGTTGCTGCAGACTTCTTGGTGTCAAATCCTTTGTTCTTGAAGTCATGATCAGTCAATGATGTTCCTATAAGTCACTACCAAATGAATGTTATTCTCTGTCATCCTGGTCGTAGCTAACAGGAGGCAGATCTCAGTTGTATGTCTTACATCTTGATCTATCATCAGATTTCTGTGCCATTAGGGGAAATTAAAAAATGTAATTCATATTAAGTACCAGATGACCTGAAATGAAAAAGTTATAGTCTGGTCTATTGGCAGGTAAATTTTTGACAAAACAAGTTAAAACCTATACAATATTGTGATCATCTCATATTTTAAGTGCTACTGAATCAGTCTGTTTATCTCATTTTCTTTTAATTAAAAATAAATCTTTTTGAAAATTAGCAGTTTACATCTATCAAAATACAGCTTGATGTATCCCATAATTCTGATGCAGCATGTTCTTATTACTTGCAACTTTATCAGTAAATAGCTTATTTAGAGACTAATATACTTGATAAAAGTGTATATGAGAAACAAGTATTTTAATTATTTAACCAGTCATTTAGAACTGATGTGTCCAAATTAAAAAAAAAAATCCATCTTGTATATTTGTCTATTAGTTAAAAGAATTTTTACAAATTACTTGTTAGTTTTTAAGTCATTGTCAATAATAGTACCTAAGAGTGGTAATAGTAAACGTTATAGAAGACATTAAGTAAAGAGATCTTTATTTCTTTTCTTCCTCTGAGTAAAGTAACAGTACTTTTCAAAAGTGGGATAACAACCAGCTTGTTGCTCTTTGTATATCAAGCTGTGTCTCAGGATGCTTTAAACATCTTATTGTTACATTAAGGGATCTCAGATTTAGAATGCTATTGGAAAAGTAATTGAGTGATGTCACGCTATTTTTCCACAAGAATTGTTTCTCAAAATTTTCTAATTAAAGTAGGAATACTTATTCTACAAGTTTAATATGGATAATATTTGATGGCTATTACATTTTTTACAAAATAGGGTAAAATTGAGTAGATGATCAAGTTTCCAAGAGCACCTAAAAACCTCCTTTACCAGATCCCTTGATATCATATTGTATGTCTTATGTAGCTAATGTAAATTCTAATATTAAATGAAGAAAACAGTTGTTTTTAAAAATGAATGTTTTCACTTCTTGGTATGCTAGTGTTTGGGAGACTAACATTTTTTGACCATAACCTTTGCTTAAAAAGGTATCCTGTGAACATGAATGTGTGAATGTACTGGAACATGTCTTTGCATTGTTCTGTTGAGTTAATATATTAAACAGACTTTAAATATGACCAGATTCTATTCTTAACTATTAAGTGTAAATGTGAATTGTTTTTTGTTATAAGTAGTTTCTAACTAGATATTTTAATAGTTCCATCACTTATAGTGGCAAGTATTGGATCTTTCCCCCTTCGCTTCACCTCCATGTTGAAAATCTGAACCCATGTAAAGAAAATAACAGACATTAAAAATCTTATGTTACTTACAGGATGATGTAAAAATGGATTTTAGTTATATTTATATGATCAAAATTTTGAAGATGTAAGAAAGTAACAGCTTTTTCATATAATTTTGAGTTGGTCTAATTTCCACTATTTTTACTTCTGTTTGTTTCATTCTTCTAGGAAACAAGAGTTGGATAGTAGTCAACCTCCAAAGCAACCAGGAAAACCGCCAGACCCTGGGCGTCCAATTCAGCCTGGTCTCAGTAAGAGTAGAACTACAGACACTCTAAGGTCAGAGCAGAAATTGCCTGGAAGGAGTCCTTCCACTATTAGCTTGAAAGAATCGAAATCCAGAACTGATTTTAAGGACGAGCACAAGTCTAGTATGATGCCTGGCTTCCTCTCAGAGGTTAATCCTTTAAGTGCTGTCTCCTCTGTTGTAAATAAATTCAATCCTTTTGATTTGATATCAGACCCTGATGCCTCCCAGGAAGAAGCCTCCAAGAAACAAAAAATAGCTCAGAAGGAACAAGGAAGACCCGAGGGAGTCACAAAGCCTCCATCACAACAACAGTCTCCCAAGACAGTTCCTAAGCAGCCAGGACCTGTGAGGGCTCCACTTCAGCAGGAAGGTTCTCCAAAATCCGGATCCTCTCAGCCGCCAGAAAAAAGTAAATCACAACCTCCAGAAACAGGAAAGCCAGCTCAGGGCTTCCCCCAGGCGCCGCAGACAGACCAGGTAAAATTGCCACTTCAGAGAGATGCATCCAGGCCTCAGACTAAACAGACAGACCCAGGAAGGGGTGAGTCGGCTAAACCCTCACTGCAAAGCCCCTCTAAGCCACCTATTCAGCAAGGAAGTCCTGGAAAATCTCCAGCCCAGCAGCCTGGAGCTGAAAAACGTACCATACCACCGCCTGGGCCTGCAAAGCCCCTAGCTCAACAACTGGGAACAGCAAAGCCCCTGGCCCAAGCTCCAGGGCCCACAAAGCCTGGAGCTCAGCCTCCTGGGCCAGCAAAGCCCCTAGCCCAGCAGCCAGGGACAACAAAATCCCTGGCTCACCAACCCGGGCCACAGTCTCCAGCTCAGCCGCCTGGGCCAGCAAAGGCTCCAGCTCAGCAGGTTGGGACAACAAAGCCTCAGGTCCAGTCGTCCGGGCCAGGCAAGACTCCGCCTCAACAGGCTGGCCCAGCGAAGCCCCCTCCTCAACAGCCGGGCCCAGTGAAGCCCCCTCCTCAACAGCCAGGCCCAGTGAAGCCCTCTCCTCAACAGCCGGGCCCAGCAAAGCCCTCTCCTCAACAGCCTGGTCCAGCGAAGCCCCCTCCTCAACAGCCAGGCCCAACGAAGCCCCCTCCTCAACAGCCTGGTCCAGCGAAGCCCCCTCCTCAACAGCCAGGCCCAACGAAGCCCCCTCCTCAACAGCCGGGCCCAATGAAGCCCCCTCCTCAACAGCCAGGCCCAACGAAGCCCCCTCCTCAACAGCCGGGCCCAGCAAAGCCCCTTCCTCAACAGCCGGGCCCAGCGAAGCCCCCTCCTCAACAGCCGGGCCCAGCGAAGCCCCCTCCTCAACAGCCAGGCCCAGCGAAGCCCCCTCCTCCACAAGCAGGACCTGCAAAGCCCTCAGCTCAGCAGTCTACAAAACCAGTAAGCCAAACAGGAGCTGGGAAACCTCAGCAGCCCCAAACGTTTCCATCTGCAGCACAGACTCCAGCACACGGCCTCCCTAAAACCATCTGCCCTCTTTGCAATACCACCGAACTTCTGTTGCATGTTCCAGAAAAGGCCAATTTTAACACGTGCACCGAGTGTCAGACCACGGTCTGTAGCCTCTGTGGTTTTAATCCCAATCCTCATTTAACTGAGGTAAGTTCAGTTTCTTCAAGACGTTCATGCTCTTAAAACATCACCGTCTTCCACAAACAGTGGTTAGTTTATCACTGATATGATAGGATGGCATTGTTTTTCTATGTTTCTTTTCTTCTTTTGCTCCTGCTTTCCTCTTTTTCGTCTCTGCCAAATGTAAATTAGAGTTCTTTCAATGTTTCCTCCAGTAATAATATTTCTCTAAAACATTACTATAATTTCTGATAAATTTGACACATAAAGGAAGTATGAATTCATTGAAAAATGCAGAGTGTTTACTCATTGCATTCTGGGTGTAAAGTCCACACTATTATTATATTACATTAATATACTACATTAACTTTTAAATTCATGCTCCTACCAACCTATCATATAATACGCTTGATATGATATTTTTATACGGGATCCTGTTTGTGCTGGGGAAAAAAGCAGACAAGGTTTTCAGATTCTAAATACAATTTTAATATAAAACAATACATTTTTTCAAACTACACATCCCTTTTCCTGCCAGTGATTTTGCCATAATCAATGAGAACATGCTTCCTTCTTTAGTTAGAGTCATTCATAAACGTATAAATCACTTCATAAAATGAAGTCATTAAAGCAGCTTCAACACTGATGGGTATTTACATAGAAAGATCACAGTTTGTAATTCCAGGTCTTTTGGTAAGCTTTCCTGACAGACTGAGTCATGAATGGGCCAGTTGTGACACAAATGAGTTTAAGATTGTTTAATCTGATTCAGGTTAGAAAAGTTATTCTCAGCAAGCCAGTTAATGTTAACTTAGCACTTAAAGGCCCTGGATAAAGTAGCATTTTAATAGGTAGAGATTTGGGGACCTTTTCGGGGAAGGGACAAAGAACGTAAAACTGCAGAAGAACTTGGAAATTCTCTGGAGTTAAGAAATAATACAGTGAAGATGATATAATAATATAAACTAAGTAAGAATAAGAGGGGTTAGGATCCCAAAGAAGATGTTTTAAAAGAAATGAAATAGTCCCTACCCAATGAGGAGGCACAGAAACCATTTAGTCCATCTAGAGAACAGCTGTTAGTGGGCTGTGTGTGCGTGATGTCTGCGAACAGCCCAAGAAGGGATGGAGGCAGCAGTCATTGAAGGATGGTGTGATTCAAATATCTCCAAGAGTGGAGACTCATGTACCCTCATTCTAACTGAAATCCCTTTTCTGCTAAAAACAACAGTGATGATTATTGGTAGCTGTTAAGTTCATTTGGATACTTACTGTGATGAAAGATGATAATGATGTCCATTTAAAGTATGTCAACCTGTGATTTTTTGCCAATGTATTTTTACTCTTTTTACCAGAAGTCATATTGAGTACTTTAACATTTTAGATAAGGGATTCTTTAATGGTAAAATTGGAAATAACAAGAACATTTATGTTGTGGAGGAGATCAGATTATAAATAGTTTGTTTAATATATTTGTAGCTTTTTTTCATACCTTAAACTTTTCTGCATTCTTTTCTTATTTTTAAAAAATTTTATTAAAGTATAGCTGATGCATAAAATTGTTACAAGTGTACAGCATATTGATTTACAAGTTTAAAGGTTATATTCCATTTTTAATTATAAAATGCTGTATTCTCCATGTTGTACAATATATTCATATGGCTGATTTCATATATAATAGTTTTATACCTCTTAATCGTTTACCCCCAAGCTGCCCCTACCCCTTTTCTTTTGCCCACTAGTAACCCCTGTTTGTTCTCTATATCTGTGTGTCTGCTTCTTTTTTGTTATAATCACTAGTTGTATTTCTTAGATTCTGTGTATAAGTGATATCATACAGTATTTGTCTTTCTCTATCAGACTTATTTCATTTAATGTTCTCCAAGTCCATCCAGATTGCTGCAAATGGAAAAATTTAGTCTTTCTTCTAGCTGAGTAGTATTCCATTGTATATATGTGTGTGTGTATGTATTTAAAAATTTTGATAAAGATGTGTTCCTGCCCATAGGATACCAGCTTCTTAGGAATGTGTAGTAATAATGACTTCAAACAGTAGATGATCATTTTATAACATGTTAGTCATGACTTTGTGGCAATTTGTAAGACAGAAACACGTAGTTGGTCCTTCAAGCTAAATAATTATTTGAGTACCTGCAAAGTGGAAGGTATTTTACTATATGTGTGTTAGGATATAAAGATAAGTAAAACATAATATTGATCTCTACATGATTCAGGTTCACTAGGTTAGATAATACATGCACAAGGAAATATGACATGTGGTCAAATAATGAAAGCTGTGAAACACATGAGCAAACATTATGGACTGTAGGGTAGGAAGTGTCATTTCCAGTGGGTGAGATTAAGGAGAGATTCGTGTAGAAAATGGCCTTTGTGCTAGGTATGTAAAGATGGGTAGTATTTCAACAGATAAAGGACGTGAAAAGGAGTAATGATTTGGTCTAAGACCTAGAGCCAGAATAATGCAAAGTGTATTTAGAAAATTGGCATAACTCTAGGTTGGCTGAAGTGATGGGGAGGAAATGAGCAATGAGATTGGAGAGAAGTTGAATGCAGATTTTGGCATTCCACATCAGTAGCAGTGAGCATTCTGCTTTTTGAAACTTACCTTAATTAATGTCATATATCCAATCCTTCATTAATTTTACAAATGTGTATCAAATGCCTAGTTGTGAAACACTGACAAGTACTTTGGTAGAATCAAGTATTTGTTAGATATGGTATTTTCCTCCAACCAGGAAATAGAGGAAATAAAAGTTGTAGATAAGAAAGGGGAAAAACAAATATATAAGAAAACTAAATGTCGGGCTTTACAGTTCACATAGTTCTTTCCTATTTGTTTTATCAAAATTAAATTTCCAAGTAATTCTGTGGTCATATATTCTGTTTTCTCTGTTATATTTTCTTAATTATAGAGAAAATTGGTGTTCAAGTGGTTTTTATGGTTACTTTACTTGTTAGGATCAACCTGATAGTAAATAACTAGAACCCAAACTAAATGTTCTGATTCCAAATCCATTTAGTCATGGTGATAAGAAAGAAAGGGCTTTGAGATCAAATGAAGTAACCATGACTGTCTGTAATAGTATCACAGCTCTCTTCATGGGAATACAAGTATTTGACCTGGGAATGTGAAGAATGATAACTTGGACATACTTGACAGGAGCTTGGAGTGTGGGGGCAGGTAGAAGATCTCAGTGGCTTAAAAAAAAAAGCATCCCCATTGTTAATGAGATGAGTGTGGGCAAATCATTTACACTTTCTCTATCAGTAATACCATATAAACAATGGAAACAATATGTTCTCTGCTGAACACAGTGAATTGTTAGGATTAACTGAACATTTGTATGAGAAGGTATTTTTTCAATATATGAAGTTCTTTTGAAGTTTTAATATTATCTGCCATGGATAATCTGATATTTTAAACAGAGTTGGCTTTGAAAGTTTACCCTCAAATTATTTTCTACAGATACAATGTCATGAATTGTTGTATTCTGTGATAACAATCAAGAGCCATTTGATCTATAGTGTTAAAACATTTCATTTTAACTTTAATATTCAAAAGGAAATGAAAAGAAATAGCACTCCTCTCCTACCGCAGAGTGATATAAAGGAGAAAACAAATAAAACATTTCTCAACCAGGAGTCAAATGCACTAAATCTATTACCCTCCTAGTAAAGCTGTCCTTAATTTGGACACTGACCCTCTGCCATCCTATTTTCTCTTATTCAATGGAGAAGCAGAACAGAAATAAATACAGAAAAAACTCTGCTGATTACCCATTCTGAATGATGGAGACATTCATTGTAAATGAGTGGTTTGGAGGGATTCACTTGACATTTTAGCAATACAACCACATGAAGGATATAGAGGAACTAGTGAAAAACAAAACAAAACACCTGACCTCAAAGGAGAGCATCTACTCAGAAAATAAAAAGAACTTGTAAAATTCGTATGATTTGTATTTCATCAATAATTAGTATACTCCAATTTCAGTGTGCTGACTTGAAGATAAAAATGGGCCCAGTTGATGTTTTGGAAATGAGACCCCCAGAATTTTCCCATCTAATTATCTAGCTACTTAATTGAGGACCTACTATGTTTCAGACACTTTCTGGACTGTCTTAGATGTAAGAGTGAACAAAATAGCCAAAAAGTGTGTATTGGTCAGAGTGGCAAATAAAACGTATAGTGGGACAGATGGTAGTAAGTGTTATGGAGAAAAATGAAGTAGGAGAAGGTTATAGCACAAACCAAGGGAAGGGGTTGGTGATTTAGTGGTGAGGTCTCTTCATTCCCTGTCATTCGGGGATTAGCATGTGGGAGTTGATGGATGAATCAGGAATCTGGAATTTTTAGTGGTGACTAAAGGTCTAATTTATGTGTATAGCTCTAACTGAGGCTGAGGGTTTGAAGGGGGCTAAATAAGGAAAGGGTGGGAATGTACCCAGGAATGTTTATAGTTCTGAGATCCCCCTCTTTACTCTTCCCTGTGGTGTTGTGGAGGCTGGGAGTAAGCCTTTTATCTCCAGTATAGGGAGCTCTTTCTAAGCGCCTGCCCATAGAATTGTAGACATTTTGAGGAGGTGGTTATCTGAAATTCTGAGGTTCCCTTGGGATTCCGAGAGCTCTGGGGCTCTAAGAAAAATATTTTAAAATTATGGAAATTATATCTAAGAGCTTATTATTTCTAAGAGTTCCAGCTTATTATTTCTAAGAAATTATATCTAAGAAATTATATCTAGAAATTATATCTATATTCTTTCAGAAAGAAAGAATCAAGGCTATGGAGTCAAGCTTTAGGAAAAGGGAAGTCTTCAGATTTTGATCCACCAGTAGTCAAGCATGATTAACAAAATGCCTGATAAATATATCCTGGTAAAATGATGTGATTTCCAAGGATAAGGAGAACATTTGAAAGACTTCTACAGAGAAAAAAGTATCATCTACAAAAAGATGAAAAATCAGGCATCTGTATAATAGTCATTATCAACACAGAAGACAGCAG